CTACCCCCGTTACGCTTATATAGTTAAAGAAACGTAAGGGAAATTGGGAAAACTATTTTTCGAAAAAATACTCGTATCTCGTCTTCTTTTTCAAAGATTATGACAAGGCGTTGTGAGAATCTGTACTTGAGATTCACTTCTTTTAGGTGGCCTTAGGCCTGATTCCAGCAAATGATCCATTGAAGGTAGTACAAAATTTAGATAGAATTAGGTGCATCTTGCTGAGTAGTTTCACGGGGGCGGGGAGGGAGGGGGAGGGGGGTCGCCTTCTGCAATGGGAAAATCTGAAAAGCTGAGAAAACTTAATTCTGACATTTTAGTCTTTTTCTCATACAATTAAACCTATACAAAGGAAAAAAGCACATATAACATTATAGGTATTCGCTACAACTATCACCTAACTGAAATTGCTGGTTTTCTAGTTTTATGAAAATATATGACCGTTCAGTCTTCTTATATTTGTAATAATAATACCATAGGAAACCGGCGCGATGAAAGTTGCTGTCAGAACTCTCTCGTTTGATACCTTTGCAAGAATAAGGTGCATAAGATGCACAGATCTTGTTGCTTGGGTTTTGGATCGAGGAATTAAAATAAACGACGTTGTGGCAGTGATAGTGTCTTGCATAACACTGCAAATAACGATAACCCACACCGATATATCCAAAGTATGCAGTACAAACCTCCCCAAGAGGTAGCTGGAATATATGACCAACAACAAGAATATTTGATCACATGAATTTTGTTAGTGGAAATAAGTTTCTAGTTGGAAGTTGATGAGTTCAGATGCTGCAGCGTGTACTTTCTGCTGCGGTTACTTATACAAGGTGGCGCAAAAATAACGCATGGATTTGAGTAACGTAGTACCAGTGGAGGGGAGCGGTCAGTGACCGCCGAGCGACGCCATTTTGTCCTCCATCCAGTTTTAGTAGCAATGGAGCAGTGGAACGTGCAGCATCGAGTGTTCGCTGTTGAACACTATTTCAAATCAAATGAATTTGTCATCACTGTTCAACGAAAATTTCGTTTACAGTTTAATGTCGCGCGTAATGGTTCGGTACCTGATCGCAACACAAAATTAGTTAAGTGTTTTATAATTATGAACACCCAACTCTCAAATTGGGTTGTTTGATGATTGTTTTGGTGTAATTAAAATTTTGGTGTGATTAAAATTAACCAACTTATAGCCATTTAAAATCCATGCGTTCTTTTTGCGCCACCCTGTAGATCTTCTTCCTTTATTTTGATATAAGTATTATCGTCCTCGTTTGAAAAATCACCTACAAGTTCAAACATAATAACAATAAAAATGAATAGCCAATAGTCCCCTCCCTCTGACAATTGATGCTTTGAATATTAAAACCTCCGGTTTTCGTAATATTCTTCTGAAACAGAATGCAGTAGTTCAATAATGCGTGCCATGCACACTTTCTTCTTCGTTCTTCTCCCGTTAAACGAAGAAGTCATGTCACAAGCACAACCCTATACCGCATGGAAAACTGTTCCGCGACTTTCGGTCTCCTTGATCCGAACACAAGGCATTAAGAGTCTTCTTTACCTAAGCGCAACTTTTTTACATTATAGTGTATAGATGATTATAGCTGCAAGAGATAAGATGATATTCTTGCTTTGTCAACTCCTGTCTTGGTCCTTAGTTAGTTCCCACCGACACTGTGCAGCGGCGCCACTTGTTACACTCAAATTGTTGATTTAACGCCCGCCAAGATACAGACTTTATTTACAAAAATTATGATTTCATTTTTTGGGGTCATGTTTAGAAGTAACTTATCTAAAAAACTGTCGGTTTACTTTTTCCATAAATCGTCTTGATCGAGAGTAAAAAAATAAAACAGATTAGCGCAATAATCGGTGCGAAACATCTAATCTTTAAACAATCGGTATTAAGTTGCTATAAACTTTAAAAAAAAATAGTCCGAACATTTTGTAGATAAAGCTCTAAATTTATAAAATAGTTCTTAAAAAAAATTGTTTTTTGGAAAAACAAATAGAGTTTTTATGGCGGGCGCTCTTATGGAAATTTACATTGGATGCAGTGACTCTTAATGCAATAGAGATTTTAGTCGAAGATGTAATTGAAGCCCTCTTGCTGACATAGGACATCGTCCATTTGAAATATTGAGCACAACATCTCACAGCTGCCATGTAATTGAGCAAGGCTGTAGGTATTGTATAATATTAACGCCTCTCGAGAAACTGCTTCCCACCCAGATAAAAATTAATATTCATATAGTTGTAAATTACCACTTCTTAATCTTATAATTTAAGTAACTTATTAAGGCCGACGCACACATACGTCCGGCGCGGCAGGTGATTCTAGCAGTTTATTGGAATTGGATTGGATAGTTGACATCCTATGCCTCTTCGTCTATACTTAAATAATTCCGCCAGTCATTAAATTGATTTCGCAATTCTTTCAATAATGTTGTATGGGAAAATGCCCTCTCCTTCAGAAACCATTGGTGTCTCAATTTTCTTCTTCGTCTTCGCGACTTTTCAATTTAATCGCTAAACAAGCGATATAAACAAACCACAACAGTAATTCCTCTATGGCGAAAACCGTTTTAACGAAAAATGTGCTTATTGGAACAATAAATTGGGCAATTACATCGTTACAATTTATCGTGGCCGAGATGGTAGCGTGTAAACTACGCTTAAATCATTGTGAGCGAAAAAGGCACCTCGCTGCAGATTGGCCTTTATGTCTATACAGAAGTTCAAAAAGTTTGTTATGGTGGTTGCTTGTATTATTATTATTAATATTTGCCTGTTGAGGGCCCAAAACAAGAGAGGGATAATAAAATAAAATAAAAAATAAAATATTTTCACAATCTTTACTTTTTTTAGAACGCTCTTATCCAGCATATGAAGCGCGTCAAGCAAGTATTTTCGTTACAAGCGATCAGCAGCAACCTGTGATTGCAAGCCCAAATGAGGGGGGGGGGGGGAGTTGACCTTTCAAATGTCTGCAGATAATTTGGTTAGTGTTGCTGCAATTGCACTAAGTAGGTAATACTTTAGTTTAGTTAAAGTACATGAAATTAGCTCATGATTTGTAGGGCAAAATACCACTGTCAATTTTCAAGCGTCGAATTCTTATAAAAAAGGTTCCCATTAACTGGGAAATTTGTTGTTAGGGTGTCAAAAAGCTTCATGCAAAAGTTGGAAGGAGGAAGAACAAACTGGTCACTTGATATAATTTCATTAATCAGAAAATCAGATAGGAACTTTTTTTATATAAATCATGAAAGGGGAGGTAGGTACCCCGTTTCACAACTTTTGCAAATATTCATATATTAGAAATTGCTGCTTGTCCCAGTCGGGATACAATTTTCCGCCAATTTTGCTTAAAATCAACTTTAACAAAAACGATTACAAATCCATTTTGTAGTATACAGCAAGTACGCCTACATCCTCAGATTTTTACCTGAAATTGGGCAATTTGAGAAAAACCTAAATCTCTGTTGTCGCTGATTTTGCGATACTCCAACGATGAACTTATGCTTGTCCTTCATACATTGTTATGAAATTTTTTAATTCGATTGTTTCCTTATAGCCGGAGAGCTGGGTACGGAAAAAAGTGACTTACCGCTAGATGGTTGATTTGTTGTATAAATTATTCTGATACATAGTGAAGTAAAAAAAAAGGCGTGCCTGCCAGCGAGATCACGTGGCTTTGTACAGCCTATGAAGGTACATTTTTTTTGTATTTTTGCTGTGGTGCTTAATTTTCGAGAAAAGTACAAATTAAAAAATTATAAAATAAATAGTACTCTTCAATTTAGAATTCCTTAAAAACTAAGAAACTCACAAAAAACTCTAAGCGGCTTTTTTGTAGAGTGTTGCATGCCACATTGGCGAGTGTGTGCAAACATTTTTTGTTATGGCCCATGTCGGAAAATTTAATGATTTTGGACAATTTACTTGGGAAGTTACAGTACCTACGTTCCCCCGATTATTTTTTTAGATGAGACGATCTAAAGTTTATTCTTAAAATTCCATTACCAGCCAATGGTAATTAAATTGCACTTAATTGACTTAATTGATTATTTTCCTGTTTAGTTCAGGTTTGCAAATCTGAGAGTAGGACAATTTTTGCACATTCAGAAAGGCACAAAACTTAATACCCTTATGTGTTACGATTGCTAAATAAAAATTTAAAGAAAATACCACCATTTTCATATGGAGCGTTTCGAATTTCATCTACTTCGCTTAAGTGGGCGATGCAGCTCAGCTTTTGCTCAGCTGCGTCCACAAACTTTAAAATAATATGTTACTTGCCTTATTGTGCATTTCCGGAGTTATGGTTCTCGCGTTAGAAGATGGAGCATGACGCGTTGTTCATGCTGTATCTTCTGTTGGACGTAATTTAAACTTGTCAGTGTGGTAATACTTATGCTTCAAAGCTCATTTTCAATGTTATTTTAAGTCATAAAACTGAAAATTAGAAAAAACTGTTTTTCTTATTATAAAAAGCAACAGAAGGCATATGTATATCAAATCAGTTAAACTAAATGAATTTATGGACAGAGCAGCAATAAAATGAGAGTTTCTAATGTTTTTCAAACATTGGAGTTACCTAAAGTTATTTTCTGTAAAGAAATTGGCACCAAATGCTAGTGGGGCATGTGGAAAATCCCGTGAATAATCAAGGGTAGCAAAAAAGAAGTAGGCGGGAAAAATAGGAAGATCGAAAAAAAGTATTGATATTAGCGTAGTAACGTATTGTACCTACGTATTTGTTTTGTGAATCGTTTAATTCATTGATAAATAAAGCACTATTAAATACCGTGTTTTACCAATTGTCGATGCTTTTTTTCATGGTGCCGAAACCCGGGAAAGAGGAAAGTGAATCGTGGAACTTTAATAACGGACAATTCGGTTTATAACGGACGTGCCGGTATTGACAGTAAAAGTGTAAAATTTGATTAACGTCATAACGTGAACTGTGTGTCAAAATAGTGCATTAACGGAAGCATATCATGAATCAAGCGCTAAAGAAAACGTATCGGACACAGCTAACGAAACTTGTGGATCGGGCTAACGAAATGTCTGATGATAATGCGTCGGTTGACCACAAGGAAGCTATTGTTTTAATTAACAGACTGAAATCGGTGAACGACTCGTTAAAGCGCGTAAATATTGAAGTAGCAAGTGAGATACCCGTCGATAAGATTGAATCAGAGTGCGAGAAAATTATCGAATACGAAGATAAGGCGGTTGCAGCGATTGCCAGGTTGGAATTCGAACTATCAGGCGCGGGTGGAAAATATGCAGCCAGCAACGCCGACGCTGAAGAAGGCGGGGGGTCCATTACAGCCGAAGGACGTGCAGCCAGAGCAGCTTCTACAAGGGCAGAAACCAAAAGGGCGGTGAGCTTACCCAAATTAGAATTAATAAAATTTAACGGTGATTATAAAATGTGGCCTGCCTTTTGGGAGCAGTTCGAGACTGCTGTTCACAATAATAACGATCTAGGGGAATCTTCTAAGTTTACATATTTAAAGTCTGTTTTAACTGGAAATGCTTCAATAACCGTTCAAGGTTTAACGTCCAGTAGTTCAAGCTATAAAGATGCAGTTGAGCTTTTAAAGGAGCAGTACGGAAATAACGAAAAAATTGCCGATAACTACACTCAACAGCTGTTAGCTTTAACTCCAGTCAAAACCAAAAATGATGTAGTTTCATTGAGAAAATTATACAATACAGCTTCAAAAATAACGCGATCTCTGCAGACGCTGGGAGTGTCTCCGCAAAATTATGGGATGATGGTGAAATCTATTTTATTAAAAGCACTACCCTTTACTATGAGAACTGAATTCCTCAAACGACAGGTCACAACTAACGATAATGATGATAACGAGTCTGTTGCTGGAAGTGTCATAAGTTCTAAAGAAATCTTATACGAACATCAAATTTCTCAACTTTTAAACTTTATTAAGTTAGAAGTAGAATCAATTGAACAGGCTAAAGTTTTGGAAGATGAGCCTAAAAGTAACGAGAAAAATTCAGTTCACAAAAATAGATTTCAGAAATCTAGTGATAAAACGTGCACAGCAGCAGGTTTGCTTACATCTGTAAAAGAACAGTGCTTGTTTTGCAACTCTAACGATCATGGCGCGATGGATTGTGATAGCAAAATAACGCTGGCGCAAAAGAAAGAGATTTTAAAATCTAAAGGGCGCTGTTTCCGATGCACCAAGTCGAATCACAATTCAAGATTTTGTCGAGTAAATGTATCTTGCGCAAAGTGTAAAGCGAAACACGCAACGTCTATGTGTGATCCAGATTATCAGAAGAAATCTGCAACTGTAACTGCATCCACGAAAAATGACGCATCGAGTAGTAAATTTGAGTCGACAAATTTGTTAGCGAACGGGTGCTTAGGCAAAATAATTTATTTACAAACCGCTTGTGCACAAATAATAACGAACAGTGGCCTACCTAAGAGTTTTTTACGTATGGTTATAGATGGAGGTAGCCATTTAACTTTTATCAAAGAATGTGTGTCACGAAAGCATAACTTACCTGTTATAGGGACACACAAAATATCGATAATGCCTTTTGGAAAATCTGAAAGGGCTCCGGCTCGCTTATGTCGAAAAGTATCATTAACGTTGAAAAGCGAGTATATTAACGATGAGGTGACTATCAACGCGATTGAAGTGCCCGAAATTTGTTTTGATTCATTGAGCGCACCGTCATTAAAAGAACCATTGATACATGAGTTCAGCATAAATTATCGATTAGCGGATTTGTGCGACTCTAACGTTAACGTTCATCATGGAATATCGCTTTTAATTGGTTCTGATTTTTATTGGAAGATAGTGACCAATAACACGAAGAAAATCACTGAAGACTTGATGGCGATCGAAACCAAATTTGGTTGAACAATTCACGGTGTAGGCAGCGGACATTTTAACGAATACGCGTTTTCGGTCGGGATTAACGTGGCGAACATTTTACACGTACAGTGCGAGCTCGATTGTGAGACTGTTGGTAACGGGTTAGAAAACTTTTGGACTCTTGAAACAATCGGGATAAACAATGATAACGTGACGGACAAATCTCATACAAAACACTTTTTAGATGAGAATATAACTTTTGAAAACGATAGATATTGTGTTGCCATGCCTTGGATAGAGCCAAACGTACGGGTTGATTCTAACTTTAACGGTGCCTTCAATAGGCTAAAGTCATTAACGCGCAAACTCAACGAACGCGGCAAACTTCGGGAATACGATTGTGCGATGCGTGAATACATGAACAATGATTGTGCCGAACTTTTACCGGAAGTGACAAATGACATTCGAATTTATTTTATGCCGCACCGGGCGGTATATCGGGATGACAAAGACACTTCAAAATTAAGGATCGTGTTTGACGCGTCGGCGCACGGCCCTGGTATGCCTTCGTTAAATGACGTACTTTTGCAAGGCGAAAATTTAGTGCCGTTTCTTTTACGAATTTTAATGAACTTTCGTGTCGGACGAGTTGCATTTACAGCCGATATCGAGAAAGCTTTCTTGCAAATCGCTATAGCAGAACGCGATCGTAATTCTCACAGTTTTTTGTGGTATAGCGTTCCTATTGATGACGTCAATAATCTTCCACGAATATCAAAATACCGAATGAAACGTGTAACGTTTGGGATTAAGTGCAGTCCCTTCTTGCTGGCGGTTACACTTAAGAAACTTTTACAATCGCAGCCGGAAAATCTAGCAGACACTTGCGAAATTCTGAGGTCTTCATTCTATGTGGATGACTTGGTAGTAGCAGTTGATAACGTAACTCAAGCCAAACGTATTTACCAAGAGTCTAAAGAAATTTTAGCTAAGGCTAATATGAATTTACGTAAGTGGAACAGCAATAACGTTTCGCTCAGAAAATTGATGAAATGCGAGGAAAACGTTAATGCCAAGAAAGTACTTGGAATTTTATGGTACCATATCGATGACGAGTTAGCAGTAGATATAACTTCAATTTTAAATGAAATCGATAATAAATCTATAACGAAACGTGGGGTGCTACAAATAGTATCGAAAATTTATGATCCACTTGGCTTTATGAGTCCCTTTTTGGTAAGAGCAAAGATATTGCTCCAAGAAATTTGGAAACTTAAGGTCGACTGGGATTCAACCACACCTGATAATATCACCAATGAATGGTTGAGATGGTGTTTTGAACTGAAATCTTTGAAACATTTTTCGTTTACCAGATGTGCACTCGAAGACAGAAACTCCGAAGTTTCACTTCACATTTTTGCGGACGCGAGCCCAAAGGCGTATGGAGCAGTGGCGTATCTCAGAGTAGTTAACGAAAACGAAGTCGAATGTAACTTTATCATGTCTAAGGGTAGAGTAGCTCCAATTGACAAAAAGGGAGATAAGAGCTTAACGTTACCAAAACTGGAACTCACCGCGGCAGTCTGTGCAACTCGACTTCAGAAATTTATACTTGAAAATATTGACGTTAAATTTCATTCCTGCACTTTGTGGACAGATTCGAAAATAACGATATATTGGATCATGGGCAAAGCTGACAGGTGGAAACCGTATGTTCGCAGTCGTGTAACTGAAATTAAGAAGAACTCAGTTGGAGTATGGCGCCATTGTCCAGGGGCAGAGAATCCAGCAGATTTACTAACGAGGGGTGTAACATCTAAAGGTCTTATGACATCGGAAGTTTGGAAACATGGACCTAATTGGCTGAAATTTAAACCAGAAGAATGGCCTGAAGAAGATATCGCGATAGGATCTGAAGCATCTGTTTTGCTAGTACAAGGAGAAGAAGTAATCCAGAATAACGAACCAATCTTCAAACTTGAGAGATTTAGTAGTTTGGAGAAAATCTTTCGCATTACCGCTTATGTTAAAAGATATTACCATAATCTAAGAAATAAAAAGAACAAAAGAACTGGAAGCTTGAAGGCTCAAGAGTTAAAGGAGGCTGAAAGATATTGGATAAAGGTAACTCAAGGACAGCATTTTTCAAGTGAAATAGCTGACCTAAGGCGAGGTAAAAAAATTGAACCCTCTTCTCGAGTTTTAACGCTAAGTCCCTTTCTTGATGAAGACGATATAATGAGATTAGGAGGCCGTTTACAGGAAAGCTCCTTACCGTACCAAACGAAATATCCTGTGGTGTTACCTAAAACGTCATTTCTAACGGATAAACTTATTTCGAACTCTCATGTTTCCACAATGCATGGTGGAGTAAACGTGACGATGGTACATATAAGAAAACGATTTTGGATTTTACAATGCAGGCAAAGAGTAAAATCTATACTGAGCAAATGCATAATTTGCAAGAGATTACGAGCAAAACCTGGCAATGAACCTTTTGCACCCTTACCAAGAAGTAGGGTGTCTTCAGCAGAACCATTTAAGGTAACGGGCCTAGATTTCGCTGGACCTCTATACATTATCAACGAATCGAGGCGGCAAAAGGCTTACATCATGCTGTTAACGTGTGCTGTGGTACGTGCCGTACATCTTGAAATAGTTCCTAATCTAACAGCAGAGAGCTGTATTAACGCATTTAGACGGTTCATTTCAAGAAGGGGAGTTCCGGATATCATTTATTCAGACAACGCGAAAACATTTAAGAGAACAGCTTTAGAATTGAAAGAATTATACAAAATAATTTGCACCGATAAATTTCAAAATTTTGTCACAGGACGTTGCATTGAATGGAGATTTATTGTGGAGCGCGCCGCGTGGTGGGGCGGATTTTGGGAACGAATGGTCAAAACTGTAAAAGATGCTCTAAAATTGTCACTTGGAAAGAAATCCCTTGATTGTGACGAACTACAAACCATCATTTCAGAAATTGAAGCTACGGTGAATATGAGACCGCTTACCTACTTGGATGATCAGCCCGAAAATTTAATGTTTTTGACACCAGCACATTTCCTTTTGGGTAGTAACGAATGTGGATTTCATATCAACACAACCCATCCGGATATTAAAAAGAAACCAATTTTGCAAAAAATAGAAAAATCGTAACAAGTTAACGCAGAAATTTTGGAAGGTTGGGTCAATAAACTATTGTGCAACAATCAACGACTGTTCCATAATCAACATCAAGTCGGTCTAAAAGAAATAGAAGTTGGAGAAATGTGGCTTTTTGGCTACATGACGATAACGTACCAAGACCCTACTGTTGGAAGGTTAGTCCGAAATAATGGAAAGTTATTTCATGGCCGTGATGGAGAGGTTAGAGCCTGTGAAGTGAAACTGCCGACCAGACCGTTTTGAGACGGCCCAATTCAACTACTATTTCCCTTGGACAATCACTGGGGCCGGGGAGGATGTGGAAATCGCCGTGATAATCAAGGGTAGCAAAAAAGAAGTAGGCGGGAAAAATAGGAAGATCAAAAAAAGTATTGGATATTAAGCGTAGTAACGTAATTGTACCACGTGTATTTGTTTTGTGAAATCGTTTATTCATTGATAAATACAAGCACTATTAACTCCGTGTTTTACCAATTGTCGATGCTTTTTTTCAAGTGCCTACATAATGATATTTCGTTTAACTGCTTTCATAAATAAGAAAGTTGCCATTGCGCATGCGCAAAACCAAATTTTAAAACTTGTGTTAGATTTGTTTGTATTGCAAGTGCCTATGTATTAAATTTCATTTAAATGCTTCAGTAAATAAGAAAGTTGGCATTCTGCATGCGCAAAACAACATTTTGAAAATGTCAGCAGAATGGGAGAAACCGAACAATCACTAGAATCATAAGAATCTGAAAAATGTTGTGAATCTGAGAAATTCGGAGAAAGGGAAGAACTCGAAGAATCTCAACAATTAGAAGATCTGAATTTGAGAAGTTAGATAACTTGAAGAATTTTCAAGATGTGAACAATTTGAATGTTCTGAAGAATATACACAACTGAACACTCCTAAGAATGTTAAGATTTTGAAAAATGTGGATGCTTGATTTTCAAAATTAAGAATTTAAAGAATGTGAAGTTGTGATGAATTCGAAGAGCAGGAAGAATTATTAAGATACGAACAATTAGATGAATTTGAAGCAACTGAAGAATGGGAAACTCCTTTAGGATCCAAACTTCGAGAATTGGAAGAATTCAAAGAAACGGCTACGAAGAACTTTGAAGAAACTGAATATTTTGTTGAATTTTAGGGGCCCGCAAGATTGATGGATCTGAGAGACCTGAAAAAAACTGAAAATCGGATAGAATGGAAGAATTGGAATCTTAAAGAATCTTTGGAATGGAAAGAAACCGAAAAAATGAAACTGGCGAATAATTGTGGTCAATCTGAACAAATGCAAAAATCTGATAAATCAAAAAACGGAAAAATCGTAAATGCCGGAAGAATTAGGAGAAAGTGAAGGATCAGAAAAGTTCGAATAATCTGAAGAATCCCAAGCATTGATCGCATTCGCAGAACCAAAAGCATGAGTAATCTACATAGTCTTAGGGATACTAAATATAATACTACACTATTATCATTGGTGATACTAAAAATCTAAAAAATTATAAAACATTTAAAAATTACAGTCTGCTACTTTTTGTAAAACAATTTGGATTGGATCAAAATTTTTAACCACTGTCTCGCGACTGAGTGAGACCGAGACGCTCACACAAAAAAACAATTAAAAATTGTCCTATTGAAATAACAATTTAACATTTTAAAATTTTGGAGGTGATTTCAGTGCTAAAGGTCGAGATTAATGAAAATTCTAACATTTCCTGTACTTAAATAGCGAGATAGAGATTCCTTATTAGGATATTGACCATTGTTAATTGGGAAACACTTTTGTTCGTCATTCTGAAGGGCGCTCGAGCTAATAAAAAGAAAAGTGCAGTCCCATGCAATATCGCCTTTATTGTATTATAGGCACTATAAAGCAGTAAAGATC